GGCAGGTGGTGGCAGGGGCTAGGAGGTCCTGGGAGGCTCTGGAGGGCTGGGAGGGGAAAAGGGGCCAAGTCTGGGGTGCGGGGTGGTTTGTGAGGCTGGGGGGGGAGGTTTCGAGCTCCCCGGCTCTGCCTGGAGCTGGGTTGAGACCCCCAGGGGCTGCAGGGAACCCGGGGATCCTTGGCAGGATCCCAGCCCTGGAGTTCTGGAGCCTCAACCTGAGGGTTTGGGGGTTCTGAGCTCCCCGTGGGTCCCAGCACGTGGCTGCTCCCGGGGGCCGTGGCAAACACTGGGAAGGAAAACTAGTAAATCCCATGAGCTCCCGGGTTTCGTGCCCTTCCGTGTTGCAGAGGGAGCTTCTGCAGAAACAGCTGTGCCTTTTTTTGCTTTTATGTGTCGGGTGTAAAGTCAGGTTGCCTTCTGAAGAGTAAGTCACTGAAGTGCTTGCACACGTGTGAGCCCCAAGTGAAACGTGTCTTTGAAACTTGACAAGAGCAGGGGAAAAAAAAAATAAATCCTGAATTTTTGCAGTGCTGAATGTGAGGAGGGGTGAGGAGGGGCTGGAAATCCTCCAGGGATGGTCACTCCACCACTGCCTTGGGCAGCCTGTTCACCTTGCTTTCTCAGCTCCCTTACCTGGCTCCATCCAGCCCTTCATTCCTGCTCCTGCTCCCCCTCTGGCCCTGCTTATTTTATCCATGGATTATTCTGGCTGCTCATTTCCCTGGAATCTCCCTTTCCCTGCAGGTTACCTGAGGGTTTGCTCTGGGTGGCCAATATTTCACACAGTCACAGAAGAGCTGGGGAGTCACTCCTGTGTGTGGTTAGCACTGAGATCCACAGTGTTTCTTTCCCAAAGGGAGGTTCTTATTTCCAGAAGTGAATTATCAGCAACTCCTTGCCAGGCAGCTGTTGTGTTTGTGTCCCTCCAGCCACCGAGTACCACCTGGGGCTGCTGAAGGCCAAGCTTGCCAAGTACAGGGCTCAGCTGCTGGAACCCTCCAAGTCCTCGGCTGCCAAAGGAGAAGGCTTCGATGTGATGAAATCTGGAGATGCCCGGGTGGCTCTGATTGGTTTCCCTTCTGTGGGTAAGGTCAGTGAGTGCCCACCTTGACTCCCTGGCATGTTTGCTTCCTGCTGGGGAAGCAGAATCCATCTTCTCTTTGTCCTTCACCTTCTTGCCTCGAGTTACCTGGAGGTTCCTGTGGGTGGGAGCTGAAGGTGGAGTGAGGTCCAGGCTTCCTTCCCCTGTGGGTGCTGCCCTGGGGTGATGGCCTGGCACTTGTCTGGGGAGGTAGGTGAGAGGATGGGGTTTTGTGGAAACAGAGAATTTGGTTGGTTGGAAAAGCTATTTAAGATCATCAGGTCCAACTCTTCCCCCAGCCCTGCCCAGGCCACTAGTGCCCCATGTCCCTCAGCACCACATCTACATGGCATTTAAACACCTCTAGGGATGGGGACTCCACCCCTGCCCTGGGCAGCCTGGGCCAGGGCCTGATGACCCTTTCCACGAAGAAGTTTTCCCTAATATCCAATCTCAGGCTCCCCTGGCACAACTTGAGGCCGTTTCCCTGTTTCCGGAATCGCGTGTTTTGCGGGATGTTTCCTGGTGCTTCCATCCCCACCCCCTGGTGATGCTGATCTCTTGCATTCCAGTCCACATTTCTGAGTCTGATGACCTCAACTGCCAGCGAAGCTGCATCCTACGAGTTCACCACCCTGACCTGCATCCCAGGAGTCATAGAAGTGAGTAGGATTCTCCTCCTTTCTGCACAGTAATGGTGAGAAACCCAGACATGGGCATGTGCCACACCAGTTACACATGTGCTGCCATGGAGAAGCTGTGAGGAAGGGCTGTTCAGCCTGGAGAAGAGGAGGCTCTGGGGAGACCTTAGAGCACTTTCCAGTGCCTGAAGGGGCTCCAGGAAAGCTGGGGAGGGGCTTTGGACAAGGGCAGGGAGTGAGAGGACAAGGGGAAATGGATTAAAACTGGAAGAGGGGAGATTGAGGTGAGACATGAGGAGGAAACTTTTTCCCATGCTGCTCTTGTACTGGGCTGTTTTCCTATCAAACTCCCACCACGTCAGGACCTGATGTGGTGCAGCTTCACTGGAGGTTTCCTCAGAGCCATTGGCTTTCTGTGGAGTCATCCTGCTCTCTCAGGGTCATTCATTCCCCCTCTCTTTGGACTCCAGCACGTGCATGGGGCTTTAGAGGCAGCTCAGGTGCCCTGCACAAAGCCCTCAGCTTTCCCATCCTTCTGCTTTCTTTTCAGTACAAAGGAGCCAACATCCAGCTGCTGGATCTGCCGGGAATCATCGAAGGAGCAGCACAAGGTTGGCTGATCTCTGTGACCATGGACAGTAGGGATTTGCCCTCATTAGTCCCTTGGTGTGTCAAACATGAGCAGGTTTCCTGGGCCAGTAGTTCCCACACTGGCTTTCCAAATTTCAGAGTCCTTGATTTTATGTGAGGCACGATTCTCATCCCTGAGCCCACGCCTGGTTCTATATGTAGCAGAAAGATGCTTTCCTGGGGGTGGGAGCCCAAGCCAGTCACTTCTCACCTTCCTGACTGAGTGTTATCTTGCTCATCTGTCTCCTGGTGCAGAGGAAACCTAAAGAAAGATGCAGTGGAGGTGGAGGGGGGAGTTGCAGCCAAACAGTGACCTCTTTTGACTGATCTGAGTTCCTGCCAGTCCTCCCATGACTCCTGATTCTGGGAAGAGGTGTTGGCTGTTTCCCTCCGCTCTGTCATTGTCCTGGTTGGCTGTTTGTGTCAGAAGATGCCTTAGAAGACCTTGGGAAGTCTCCTAATGTTTTTTTGTGGCTTTTGTTGTGGGTTTTTTTGGAGGATCATGGTCTGATTAATAAGGTCTCTCTCCTTGTAGAGCAGAAAGTGTATGTAACCCCCTCTGCAGAGGGGCTCTGGGTATCTGGGTATCTCTGTGCTGCCTGGAGCTGCACATGTCTGGATATGTGTGTCCTGCTGGCAAAGCTGTCATGTCACCTGTACAGGGTCCCCAGCAGCTGCCTGCAGCCAGCAGAGCACTGCAGGATCTTTGTCCTTGCTTCCAAACAGCTGCACAGGGCAGGAGTCCCAGTCTGTCCCAGACCTGGGTGGCTGGTTTCTCTCCCTGGTCTCAGACCTCCTCCTGTCTCCTCAGGGAAGGGCAGGGGGCGGCAGGTGATCGCTGTGGCCAGGACAGCAGACGTTGTCATTATGATGCTGGATGCCACCAAGGGTGAGGTACAGAGGTGAGTGGCTGCTGCTGTGTGAACTGTGGGGTGGTGAGACAGGTTTGGGGGTTCCTGCCTGCCCAGAAAACGTCAGCTCCTGCTGTGGCCTCTGCCACATTGGGGGCCAGTAATGAAGCCTCTGAGTGTGAGATGGAGGTAGTGCTTTGTTGGAAACCCACCAGCTGGGAGCAACATTCACATGGTCCTCTGCAGATCTCAGTGTGGGCTTCTCAGCTGAAGGCTCATTCCCAAAGGACTAGTGGTTCAGAGACAGACCACTCACCCCCTGCCCTTGTCCCAAGTCCCTCCCCAGCTTTCCTGGAGCCCTTTCAGGCACTGGGAGGCTGCTGATGTCAACCTGGATTTCCACCATGGGCTCTGTCCTGCATTAGCTGTGGTTTGTAGGTGACAGTGGAAGCTTTTGGGAAGGCTGTGTCTAAAGCAGTCAGAAAGGCAGGTGGGGGTATCACCCAGCTGTGCCCAGGCCCACAGGCACTAACGTGCAGTTGTCCCTGCAGGGCCCTGCTGGAGAAGGAACTGGAATCGGTTGGAATCCGGCTGAACAAAAGCAAACCAAATATCTACTTCAAGGTGAGGTTTCCTGGGTTGCTGCAAGCACAGCTTCTGCCTGCCTGCTGGCCCAAAGCTGAGGCCTCTCTGTGCTGCCCCTCACCTTGGGCAGGCTGAAGGGGGTTGTGGGTTTTGCAGACTGTTCTTTGAGTTGCTTTGTGGTCTCCCTGCAGCCGAAGAAGGGTGGAGGCATCTCCTTCAACTCAACGGTCACGCTGACTCAGTGCTCTGAGAAGCTGGTGCAGCTCATCCTCCATGAGTACAGTATCCTTTCCTAAAGCAGGACACCTCTGAGCCATCAGCAGCTCGTGAGTCACAGAATCAAGGAATCCTAGGGGTTGGAAGGGTCCTGGAAAGACCATCCAGTCCAACCTCCCTGCCAGAGCAGGGTCACCCAGAGCACATCACACAGGAACGTGTCCGGGCGGGTTTTGAATGTCTCCAGAGGAGACTCCACAGCCTCTCTGGGCAGCCTTTCCCAGGGCTCTGTCACAGTGCTCATGGCACTGTGTAGATGTGTTGGGATTTGGGCCTTGACAATGTTCTCAGAAATCTTCAATGCTGAGGTCCTTTTCAGAGAGGACTGTTCCCCTGATGAGTTCATTGATGTGATTGTAGGCAACAGGGTCTACATGCCATGCCTTTACGTGAGTATCTGAGACAGCCACAGTTGCTGCTGCTCTGAGCAGCTCTGTTCTTTCCTGAAGGATCTTCCAGGTTCCAGAAGCAGTCAGGATTTGGGATCGAAGAGCTGGAAAGCTCAGCCCAACAGGGAGCTTCTCATCAGCCGTAGGTGTGTGGCTGTGCTCTGTGTGTTCCCTGTGCCCTCTTGTGGCTGCCTGCTGTGGAGCATCTCCCTTTGAGTTGGCACATTCTCCAGAACTTTAAAAGGCCCAAACTTGGATTTAGGCTTCGAATTTCAACAGTTTAATTTGCTGAGAGCCTTGGTCTGTCCCCTGGCTGACAGGATCTGTGTTTCTATTTCAGATGCTGGAACTACTTTGTTATAGTGACATGCACATGTCCTGCTTCCCTGCAGGGCTGTGGAATTGGCTTCCTAAATGGTGTCTTGCTTTGCCTTTGGCTTAGGTCTATAACAAGATTGACCAGATATCCATGGAGGAAGTGGATCGCCTGGCTCGGAGGCCCCACAGTGTTGTCATCAGGTAGGAGCCTGTCACACTGCCCCATGTGCTGGCCTGGACAGTGTGTGGGGGGGTTCATTTCACACCCCTTTCTCCAGCTTCTCCCAAGAAGGGGCTTCTCCCAGAGCTGCCTGCAGCTGGGGGGGGAGAGAAGCCAAACTGCAGTGCTGCTTCTTCCAGGCCTCCTTCCCCTGGAGGGGCAGGCAGGCTGCTGGGCTCCTCTGTGCTGCAGGCCAGGGGAAGCCAGTCAAGCTTGTTTGCTCAGGTGTGCTGATCTATCTTACTTGGCTGCTTCAAAGTCCTTGCCCTTCTCAAAGGCCTGTTCATTTCACCTTGTGTTTTGCCTTCACTGGCTTCATTAAAGACTTTTCCCCTTGCTCCCCAGCACTTTAATAAGACATTTCACCTTGTTCTTCTGGCTCTCTAAACTACAACAGCAGTAAACACAGATATGTCCCTTGGTGTTTTGCAGCTGTGGTATGAAGCTGAACCTGGACTACTTGCTGGAGAAGCTCTGGGAGTACCTGGCTCTTACCTGCATCTACACCAAGAAACGAGGACGTAAGTGACCATGAGCTGAGGAGCTTTGGGGGGCACAAAGGACTGCTGCTCATCAAACACAGACAGGCTGTCAGCAGGGCTTGGAATCCTGGGTGCCAGCAATCTCTTGGGTCTTGGGGATGCTTCAGTTAAGCTCTCCCTAGCCAGCTTTTGGCTCCTGGGAACTGCTTTCCGTTCCATCTGGTCCAGCCGTGGGTGTATCCCACCACAGCCCTCCTGTTCTCTCTGCACTAGAAGACCTGAGTTTTCACAAGACTTTGCGGGATGATAGAAGGAAATTAAGTTGTGAGTTTGCAGCTTCTTTCCTTATTACTCACAGTCTGTGATGAGCTGCTCAGCCCATCACTGCCCAGGAGAGGTCTCCTGTTCCTGCTGCAAGAGGTTTGGTGCTTCCTGTGCCAGGCTCCTGAGGCTCAGGAGAACCTTTAATGCTCCTTTTGCTTTACAACTCACTGGCAGCTTCTCCCAGGGATGGAGGCATGGCTGTGACTTGCTCCTGTCTGGTTTCAACTCCAACTCCCAACGTGGGTGGATGTGAGGAGTTGAGGGGACTTTCTGTGAACTTCTTAAGCTATAAAATCTTGGGGATTTGATAGAAAACTGTGGAGTGGTTTGGGTTTATTTGAGAAGGTGTGTTTTGACTTGAGTGGTTTTGTCTGTCCTAAGTATGTGGAGTGGAGTTGAAGCAGGGGAGATGTGGGGAAGCTGTTGGCTGTGTGAGCTGGGTAACCATCCCTGTGGGTACAGGAGAGTCTGCAGAACCCATCTGATGCTTTCATGTACCTAGATACCTGTTGTACAGGAGCTAGGAAGAGGAATTTGGGAGAGGAGGCACAAGGCCCTGTGAGGTGGTGTCAGCAACACATCTGATTGAAATCCAGTGCTTTTTTCCCCTCCTTCTCCTCCACAGAGAGACCAGACTTCACTGATGCCATTATTCTACGGAAAGGGGCCTCTGTGGAACATGTGGTAATTTCCAGGCATCTTTTCCATTTCCTTGTCTGTAGAAGCCAGGTTCCTCTGAGAGTCTGCTGAGATTTGCACATGGTAAAGCTTGGGATGTCTCAGTGTTTAGTTGGGCTTCTTCTTTTGTTACCTTCCTTTTGTTACCTGCTTCTGTCTCCCTCGGGTTTCTTTTCTAGATGCTACGAAAAGTTGAAAACAATTATTACTTAATGCAATCAAGTGAAAAAGCACATAGAAGGAGGGGAGTGGGGCCTTTTTATCACACAGGTGGTTCCTCTGTGTGTTCTGTGCTCTTTCAAGTGCGGGGAATTGGCTCCTAAAGTCACGAGTGTCATTTCTGACACAGGCTTTGAGTTGCTTCTAGTTACAGGATATTGAGCAAGTTGTTTCCAAAGTTGTGTCACTGAACTGCCTCACGTGCTGTCTGTCTGTCCTGTGCTGTCTGTCCTGCAGTGCCACCGAATTCACAGATCATTAGCCAGCCAGTTCAAGTATGCCTTGGTGTGGGTAAGTGTTTACAGCAAAGGAAATCCCCCTCCTCAGGTGTCTCTGGTTTTCCCCTAACCCTTCTCCACCTTTTGCTTTAAAGGGCACAAGCACAAAATACAGCCCCCAAAGAGTGGGCTTAACCCATATGATGGAGCATGAAGATGTCATTCAGATTGTGAAGAAGTAACCCTTTCTGCTGGTGCCTGGCCTTGTCTTTGATCACTAGAATTGGAACTGACCATGTAAAAGCAAAAAAAACAACAACAACAAAAAAAGGAGAGGGGGAAAAAAAAAAATAATAAATAAATAAATAAAAAGGGAGATGTGTTCCACAGCCAAGAAAGCTTCTATGAAGCTCCTTCTCTTGGAGAAAGGCAGAAAATGAGGCTACTGTGCTTGCAGGTGGGGATGGGGAAGATGGGTTTCCATCTTGCAGGTGAATTAATATGTCTTCAAAAAGGAGCCAGTTGTTCTAGGACACAATTCCCACATCTGGCAGCATCCTGCCACTGGCAGGGGTTGCCCACAGATCCATGGGTTACCCTGCCAGTGGCTTGCTTAACCAGAGGGAGATTTATGCGTTTATGTGAACAAATCTGGCCCCTGTGCTTTGGGACAGGGAAGCCAGGGCCAAGACAACGTGGCTGATGGTTGGCCTCTTATCCATACACTTAATTTAAGCATTGATGTGAAGCAGAAGCAAATCTCCTTCTCCCCTGCTCATGGGACACGGTGTCTCTGCAGCTGCCACCCTTGGAGACTTCAGGCTTGGCATCTGAGTCAACCCCTGATGAATTTATCACTGTCCCACCTCAATTAACATTAGAAGGTGGCACAGAGTGCCACTCTCCTTAGCTCTGCACTGGGTGTGCAGGACATCCTCGTCCAACTGGTACTGAAAGAGATGAGAAATGTAACTTCATTAAGGAGTAATTAACCTGACCAAACTGTAGCAGGTACGATCCAAGAGCCACAGTCTGCAGTGAGGATTCCCTGCTGGCATGTCACTCCTCAAAGAGCTCTCTTGGGAGTTTGCTTCTTTGCTCTTGTCCTGTCCATGAGTTCCCAAAGGTATTGCTGGGGATCTGCTTCTTTCTCAATCATGCCTCTAAATTCCAGTAACAGCTCTTTGAGCTTCAAGCACCATCCAATGCCATGGGTTTTTCCCCCAGCCCTGTTCAGATGTAGTTGCTTGTCTGGATATTTTTCATCAGAAATTTTGGATTTTTTCTAATCATGCTTTTTCATTGAACACTGACACTAAACAGTTCAGAGTGCCTGATAGAGAACAGCTCTTTCCTTCTGGGATCAAGAGTTGCCAATAGCTTTTATTTTCTTTCATTGGAAAAGGGTTTGATCTGAGGTGGATTCTTAACTGTGAGGATGGGTCTGATCTCAACCTTGTCTGCAGGGCTCCTTCCCTCCCCTCTGTGCTCCTCCCCACCCCTCACAACCTGATTGAGCAGAAATGGAAGGATTATTTTATTTGAGAAAATAAAAGTTGCTATTTCATGTGAACTGTAGGTGTCTGCCTGCACTGGGCAGAGGCTTTGGTGTGTTTTCTAACTCTTATTTTTTTTTAACCTTTGGCCACCTGAGGACTCCTGGCTGCTGAGGCAGGAGGTTGTAGGTGAGAGTAGATGGTGAAGCAGCTGCAAGAGGGCTCTGAGGCTGAAGGGGACTGGCCAGGGGATGAGTAGATACTGTGCACTATACCCAACTAAGAAGGTGAATTTGAACTCTCCCAAGTTCTCTGCCCTGTTCCTGGTTTCGTGTGCAGCTGGAGTGCAGAGCAGATCCCAACTATGGTGGCAGCTCGTGGAGAACGAGCTCCTGATGAGCCACGTTCTGCCAGAGCTGGGCCTGGAAAGCAGGTGCTTCTCAGCCTGAGCTGGGTGAGATGCTGTTCCAGGACATGACCTTGCCCTTTACATTCCACAGGAAGGTTGCACAGCCTGAGGTGCCTGCACAAATTGTCCTTTCAGTTTCATCTTGTCCTGGAGTTTCTGGCTTTTCACTCCAAGCCCAGGAGCCTGTCAAGCCCTGGCACATGCTTGGGCAACTGGAACTGCTGAGTGGGCTTCATCCTTGGGCCAGGTCATATGTGGAGCTGGGGAAAGAATTGGTGCTGAAATGCACAGTATTACCTGCTGAAACATGTCCTCAGTTGGTTAGTGCCTTCCTCTCAGTGTGTTTGAGTTTCAAATTGACTAATCTAATGTGCCATCGTTAAAACCCCCTCTGTCTAATTAGCCCTACTCTTCATTTAGGAAACTGGGCATTTTATCCTGCTCCAAATGAACTGCTTCGTGATTAAATTTGGAATGGGGATGAAGTAGAAATAGTTAAGCCAGAAGCAGCGAACTTCTTTTTTTAGTGAGAGTGGCTTTTTTTTGCAGGCAAGTTTATGGCTGTGTGGGAAAATGCAGCGTTTAATTGCAGCCTTCCTTCTTCCAGACGGCTTCCCTAATTGCTCTGCACCAGTATTAAAAGCTGCAAACATTGCAGTTTGGTGCTGGAGCAGGTTTGCTGCCTGAAGATTTCTCCAGATCCTGAGAGAGCAAAGTCCTGTGGGCAGGGGGGAATCTCCTGCGGCGTTAGGATTGTGTCGGGGCCTCCTGAGGTTTATGGAATTGGCCAAACCCCTCGTTAGCTCCGTGGGGGAGAGGTGTGAGGGAGATGTGCTCAGAGCCTCCTTGCTGTGTTTTTGGAGAAAGGTTTTCTTCTGCCCAGGAGGATGGGGAGTGGTTGGAGGCGGGAGTGGTGGGTTTGCCCTCCCAGAGAGGAGCGTGTTGCGTGTTCTCCCTGCTGTAGGAAGGAGGGCTTGGCTGGATGGTGCTGGGAGAAAGCAGCTTCACTGGTGGTCTGCTCTGCACTGCAGCCCTCGCTGTTCCCCTGGTCTTTTCAGCTGTCTCTGCTTTCCTTAGCACCATACCCACTCCCAAAGGGCTGCACTCATCCTGCCCTGTTCCTTCTTTCCTAGCAGAGTGCAGCCGTGCATCCCTGCTGAGCCACAGGGTGGATCAGCTCCGATACAGCCCATCAGCCCCTCCATCTAGTCCTTGAAACAGCAGAGGCCCAAGGCATGCTCGGTTTAAAGTGCCTGTTCCAGGCAATCGAGCAGGTTTGATTGGCTGAACACTCCTTTTATAATTTAATTTAGTCAGGAATCGTTTGCGAGGTAATAAAAAGAGGCTCTGACTCCAAATACATTCATTTAATTCAATGAGAGACAGTTACTGCGGCGGGCTCAGCTCAGCCAGCTTCTCTCACCCCGTCACGCTGACATCTTAAAGTGCTGCTCAGGGCTGTATATAAGAGCCACGATCCGCAGTGACAGCTTAATTGTTTCAAATCCTGACAAGGGTCACCCCAACCAGCCATCCTGCCTTCTGCAGGGCTGGCTCAGGAGGCTGCCGGGAGGAGGATTTATGGCTGGCAAATAGTTGAGAATTCCTCTGGTTGCGCCTGCTAAATGATGAACTTGCCCCTTGGGGCTCGGGGCTATTGATTGTAATTTGCAGTTAAGCCCCGGCTTTCTGAGGAATCAGCATAATAAATACCCACCGCATCACGGCAGGGATGTCGCTGCACGGAGGGAGGGGAGCAGAGGTTTTTCCCTGCTCATGCTGCTCCTGGGTTTGGGAGAGCCATGGGATGCAGGAGAATGATCCCCTAGTTTGGTGGGATGCGGGAAACCAGTGATGGAAGGGGGAACGTGAGGTTCTGAGGCTCTCCTGTGGTTTGTGGTGGCAGGAGGAGATACCCTGCTCTGAGGAGGAGGAGAGGGCCATCTGGCATTGGTGGATTGATGTGTGTCTGGATCCTGTCACTGTGCCCGGACTTGGGAGCCGGTCTTCCCAGTCCTCCTTTGGAGAGGGGTGTGAGGGGGGATGCGTGTGTGTGCACTCCCACGTCCTTGTGATTTCTCCCGGTTTTTCCTTGGTTTTGGGGGCAGGAGCAGGTCAGAGCCATTTACCAGCTGTTCACATCTGGGCTTGGTGACGCTGAGGTGACACAGATCCACATCCCGGGAGGGAAGGGGCTGCGGGACTGCCCAGTGTGTCAGCAGGGGAGGAAGGGGCAGGGATCAGAGCTGCCTGCCCCTCGCCCCTCCAGCCGCTCCCTCCCCGGCTCCGCGGATCAGCTCCCGTCCCTCCGCTCGGGGGGAGGGCCGGTCCCGGGTGCAGAGGGAGGCCGGGAGCGCGGTGCGGGCAGCACCGGGGGCTGCGGGCAGCACCGAGCCGGCCCGATGCCATGCGGGCCAGGTAGGCTACCCCAGGTGAGTGGCTGTGAGTCCCCTGCTGGGTGGCACGTCCCCTTGGGCTCGTGGAGACCACAATGGGGAAGGAGCGGGGAGGGACCTTTGTGTGTGACACTGGTCTGTACGCAATTGCTGCAGCGCGGGGCTCGGCTTCTCCCGGTGGGGGTGCACGGTGTCCCCTCTCCTCCCTGGTTGTCTCTGCCTGTTTAGACCCTTCTCTCGCTTTCCGAGTCTCACCTTCCCTATAGTCCCAGCATTCCCGCTGCCCTCCGGAGCAGAGCTTCCTCCCCTGCACACCCACTCCCTCCCCAGCAGCCTCTGCCCATGTCTCCTACCACCCCTTCCCACATTCTGGGGGCTGTTTAACACCAGGAAAGCTGCCTGGTCCCACAGCCGAGCTCTGTGGGGCCCCTGGGCTTGGCTTCAGGCCGAGGCGATGGCGCGGGGCTGTCACCTGGCTCCGGGGCCACCAGCCAGCGTCCCTGGGTGCACTCCAGTGCTGAGCCCAGGACGTGTACTGCTCAGCCGGTCTGTGCTTCCACCATCTGCTCCGGCTTCTCTTCTCCCCATAACTCCTCCCCTGTGGGCAGCTCTTGGTGTTGGGCAGCAGCTGGGAGGCAGGGACGAGCTGCGTGTTGCTTGGGAGATGCTGGGTCCCTGTTGCCGGTTTGGGAGGGAGCTGGAGGGGGTTGAAACTAGCGAGTTCAGGGGTATGATGGGTGCTTGGGGGCCCAAGGAGAGACCCCCCCTCTGCCTCTGTGCTTGGAGGGCTGTGCTGCTGCCACATTGCCTGTTGCTGGAAGGGTCCAGCCTGTCCCAGTGTTCTTGGCATCCCCAAGGCTCATGGCTGGAGTAGCGAGGGCTGTGTTGGAGCTGTGCCATCCACACACAGGTGTTTGAAAGTGGAGATAGATGATGCAGATCTATTGATGGGGAAAGGGGGTGGCACCTGATGACAGATGCTGCAGCTGGGAGGTGTCTTGGCCAGCCAGGCTGCCTCCATGGGGCTGGGGCGTGGAGCATGAGGCATGGCAGTGATGGGGCTGGCATGGCACAGGGCTCCACTCTGGCTGTAACTGGAAACAGGGTGTAAGGAGACCTGGGGCCAGCTGGTGACCCCAGAGCTGCCAGGAGATGGCTGAGCTGCTGCCCCGGGAGCTCTGCCCTGCTGATGCTGGTGCTCCAAAGGTACAGTCCCACATCATGCAGGGCTGGGGTGAGTGTGAGAAACGGTGAACCAGAACCTTGGTGGTCAAAGCAACCTCCCCTTTCTGCAGCCAGCCCTGGCATGACCCTGGGATGTGGCTGTGGAACTGGGGCTGCCCAGGGCAGTGTCCCTGGGGTGCGGTGGCTTTTCCTGACTCAGCCATATGGATGGAGCCATTCAGGGGTGGCAGGGGCAGAGAATGCTCTGGGCATCTTCTCCCACGGCCCCAGTCCCCATTGCACTCCCAGGGAACCCCTGCCCTGCCCACAGATGATCCATTCAGGGCAGTGAGTTCCCACTGCTGCTGCTTAAACTTTGATGAGCCTGCAGCAGCAGGAGTCCAGCCCCCCATTAACATTTGATGCAGTCACCCCGCACCTGGGCACGTGTGTGTGCAGACACGCCGCCAGCAGCGCCACAGGGCACACGTGTGGCACACACAAGTCCCCTCCCCAGCCACATGTGGTCAGACGTGGCAACCTTCACACACACAAAGTGCGTGGCAGGGCAGGGGGACACCCTGGGGGGCTCCAGGCTCCTCTCTGTGTCCCGGCAGGACTGTGGGATTTGGTCTGGTGTTGGGTTCCTCCTCCATGGTGTTCCCTTGGCTGTGCTCCCAGTGCCGGCACAGCGTGTACCTTGGGTGCTGCAAAGTTGTCTCCTCTCTCTCGGTGCTATTGGTTTAGGCTTTGCGGGGGGAAAAATGGGTCTGTGGGCTGCGTCCTCCTCCATGCTGGCTGGAGGAGGAGGCTGATTCCTCGGGGAAGAGCGCAGGGAGGTGGCAGGGTCGGGTTTGGAGGTGGTGAGGTGTGGTTTTGAGGTGGCG